AATAATGTTGCATGGATTCTATGATTGTTGATGATTAGTAGGAAAGGTTTAATACATTGGAAGTAATTTGAAGAGTAAGACTCTTAATGTGAAGTAGAAGATCAACAGGTGGTAGAGAGGGAATATTAATTTGCAATGGAAGATTGAAAAGAAAGATTTTATTCCATGCCATAATGAATTTTGTTGCCCTGGTTTAACAAGACCTCTTGTATAAATAATCATGGCTTTTTACATCCTTGCCATATCACAGCTACAGAAGTATAATTGGCAATATCTTACACAGGATGTGAAAACACTATTTTTCCCCAACAAATACAAGCTTATCTCGCTTTCAAAATTCTTTCCCAAACCGTAAGACAGCAAAGAAAAGCCATATGTTTCTCAATTAAATCTGACCTTGGAGGCTCCTCTTTCTCATAATAATAGCAATGCTAGGAAATGTGATTAACAGTTTGCTTAACCTTTAAAACTAATCTGAATAACAGTTTTTTAACCTTTACAACTAATCTCACATCATCCTCATTATGGACATTGGGGGAGTACTGAAAGGTATCTGGCTGAGGAAAGCTGCCTCATTATATTTCTATGCCAGCTTTGAATCTAAAACAGAAAGAAACTGAACCGGAGTTGCCAGCAGATTTATTGCTTTGAATAAAGGCATATAGTTCAGAAATTGTCAACATGGAGAAATTGTCAACAGCCACGATACTCCACTGAACCTACAAGAAACATATTGTAAAAATCTAAAAATTAGACAAAAGCTCACCAACTTTTTTTTGAAATATTGGTATTCTAAGAACCCACAAGCTGACATTCTTAAATGAAGTCAAGCAAGTCTTTACAGCTCAGGCAATTTAGTAGTTCTTGGGGCTGATATTATGTAATTTTATTATACTACTAAAAGGGCATAATAAAGTTTGTTTCCTTGTTTGCATGTGATTTGGATATCTTGGTAAAATTCTGGTATTTCACCATTCCAATACCCCTGCCTAAAATCACACAATGATGCCAATGTCTGAAAATATCAGCCAGCCATAATTTAGATTAATTATTCAGCTTTTTAAGTAGAAAATCATCCCAATGCTTTTCAAATCACGATGTTTTAAAATATATTCAAATATTTTAATCATATGCTAATTAGGGGCCCAAACAGTAATTCCAGTGTTCTTTCCTGTCATCTGCTACATCAGTGATCTTACATCAGTTTTCTGCATCTTTTAAGGCCAAAGTGACATTCTCTTTATACATGAAATGAAGCTGTAAATTAAATATTTTCTTACTAAATCAGATATAAATGGTGAGAATGGGATGGGTCGTTATTCCTGGAAATACGGCACACACAGAGTGATTGTGCTGGAGATGGAAAAGTTAAGGTCAAGATAGAATCCTTAGAAGAAACTCATATAGTTTCAGTTGACATAAATAGAAATCTACATCTGAGAAGAGGGAATGGAAAGATTTTTATTTTCTTTTTTGCAAGCTTTTTAAAATTTTAGCTCTGATTTTGGATGTTTGGTTAATTCTTGTGCTATTTTCTCCTCACAATTCCATGTAAAGGCCAATTCTTCAGATAGAATTTTTCAGAAAGTGTACAGCAACAGCTAGCAACATGTGGCTTATCACAGCCATGTGCAATTAATGAACTCACATTTCTGGTATGATCTATATATCTGTTTTCCTTAACTGAAAGAGCAGGAAGGATGTCAAAAAGAGAAAGAAAGGGTCTATTCCCGCCTATTCCTCTTTATTTATTTATTTATTTATTTAAATTCAAACATTTGAGAGGCCTAAAAATTTCCAACAGGAAGTAGTTATTTTTCTTTCTCCAGGAAATCTGTCTGCTTTACATCTTATTAATAAAGAACTCTTTCCTTTTAAAACGCTTTTCAAAGCCTCCATGAGGAGATAAGCAATTTCATGTGCTGATAGAATATAAACTTTGAAAATAAATTATTGCGTTCTCCAAGGGTTGAGGTTTACTTAATTCCCTACACACACAGAGAGTGCATATTTCAAGATGACAAGATTTCCAGAATGTGTGCAGTATTTAGGTCAATTAGAGAGTATCCATCAGTTCATAAAAATGTTTACCAGTGTATATATGTGATTTTTTTTCACATTTTAGGCTGTAGTGTTTTATTCTGCAAAACATACTTATTTTTGAACTATCATTGTGGGTTTTTTTGACAAATTTTATTGGTTTCTCCCCCCCAATACACACCCACATATTTTTTGAAATAGAGTATTGACCATATCATATCATATCATATATAATTCATCATATCCAAATATATTTTACTTATTTAGTTACTTAGTTACTTAGTTTCTGCCAAAGTATTCTTTTTCCATATTTGTTAATCAAAGCTTAATTTTTCTATTCTTACTTTTATAAACAGTATCTTCTTTCACCCTTGAATTCTATTTTTTCTATTCTTAATCATATACATTCTCCTTAATTTTATTTTTTATTAATTCAATCTTTATCTTAATATATTTAAACAAACTTATTTTTGTTACAGGAAAAAATAACTTTGTTATTTTTTACAGGAAAAAATTATTACAGGAAAAAATAACTTTGTATTCCTCTTTCCTAATATGCTACTGGTGAAAGTTTTTTTTTCAGGGCAAAACAAATCCCCAAGAGGCCAAGACTTTGCAGAAAAGTACCTCTCTATCAGATTTGTGTAATCTTTTGGATTTGATTCTGAAAAGGTGCATTAAAGCTTCGAAGAATGGAAATGCAACACCTGTAAGAGTTTCATTAAAATAGCTGTTCTTGTTTGTTGAAGCATAGTTTGCACAGTTCTGGAAGCAAACGCAGAACAATCTAAAGCTCCTTTTCAGAACTAGATCCAAAGCACTGCACAATCTATTCTCTAATTCAAAGTTTCTCAATCTTAGAAATTTTAAGGCATGTAGACTTCAATTCCGAGAACTGAATCCTACCTGGGGACTTCTGGAAGTTGGCATTAGATACTTTAAAGTTGGCAAGGTTAAGAACACTGCTCTAACAGTTGCTGAGATTTACACTGTCACTTGACTTTGGAGTTGACATCTTGTAATGTATTGTAGCAGAGTATACTATTTCAGACGGTAGAACAAGAAGCAATAGGTGAAAACTAATCAAGGAGAGAATCAACTTAGAACTAAGGAGAAATTTCCTGACAGAGCAATTAATCAATGGAACAACTTGCCTTCAGAAATTGTGAATGCTCCAACACTGTTTTTAAGTTTCAGTTTTTAAGAAGTTGTTGAATAACCATTTGTCTGAAGTGGTGTAGGGTTTCTTGCCTAAGCAGGACTAGAAGACCTCCAAGATTCCTTCCAACTCGGTTACTCTATTCTATTGATTTTTCTATTTGCCTTCTCCTACAAAGCTTTTGAGTCTATCTCAAAAATCAATCCACAGTATCAAATGTTTAAATAACTACTTACCTTTAAAAAAAATCTTAGAAAAGGTGTAACAAGAGTTTGAGATAAACGTGAGCTTTATTTTTTTTGCAGTTTACAGTTATGCCTTCACTTTTTAATCACAAACATCAATGAAAGACAATTTCAATTTAACTGATTAGCTCATTAAGTTAGTCCATGGAAGCTCTGTTTTAAGCACCATAGGAAAAAAGAAAGACTTTGGACCATTTAGTTATGAAATCAGCTAAGTGCGGATTTAATTTGTGGACAGCATCCCTTGAAATATAAAGCATTTTTCAAACAAAAGCTTAGGCTATGAATAGACTAGACTAAACAAACACAGCCTGCACTGCCTAATGGCTTCACACAGATTCTCTCCAAGTCCTGACTTGCATTAAACTAACAATGGAAGGACCAGATAATGCAACATAATAATAGAAGAAATAGCTATTTAGACTTATTATTAAATGCTTTACAAGCTGTCAAAAGATTACTGTGAGAATGAATTACCCTACTAATTTTTTTCTTCCTCTTCCAGTCAGGAACAAGAGAAAAGAATCCAATGATGTAATTTAATAAATATTTTAAATTAGTTATTGACATTTAGTTTATTTGCATCTATAGGAAAGTGGGCAAACCCAAACTCACTTTAAATTAATAAAGGAAGTATAGGTTCATGTGTAAGAAGGACTATGCATGGTATTCCTTTTACAAACCTTTACAACCTTTCTCATACTGCAGGCTGAGTGAGAAAAATCTGCAGGAACTTCTACTTATGGCTTCTGTGTTATTCAGAAACAGATAACGAAACATGACAATTATTCAATCTGCATAGAAAAAAATGATATCAACTGACAATTCTATTAAAATTTTATACTATTATTTTTATTCTAATAATTATAATTTCTTTTAAAATTTTACATCTTTACTTTTTTTACCAGGGATAACGATAATGTTTTAAAATTATTCTTAATATTTTGCAATCCTTGCATGTACAAAAAAGTATAAACAATAAAAGCAAGTAGAAGATGATTTTCTTCCATTTTATTTTCAAATAAAATTGGAAAAAAAGACATGAGAAAGAAAATGGAAGTAGGAAGAACAATAAAGACACAGAATTGAATTCCAATATTGATAGAAAAGTTCCAATAGCATGAAAAAATAGAACTAATTTCTTCACAGTTGAAAAATATGAACAGTGATCCAGTGCAACAAATAAAAATAAACCAATGACATAATCTGAGATTCCAGAAATATGGAAGTGTATGGCCTACTATTCTGTCCTCTGTTCATAGAAAAGACATTCTGCAAGTCTTTCTTTGATCTATAAGAACATCATCATTGTATTAGATCACACCAATGGCCCAACTGTTAATTGGGCTTTTTATTCTCGTGGTGGCCAACTGGATACTTATGGAAAATTCACAAGAATATGTGATCAAGATTAACTGCATCTGGTTCTAAATACAATATAGAACTGGCCTTTGATAAGCCTATCATCCATATTTTTTTCTAATTCCCAATTACAGGTATCAAATAGATATTTTGCAACAATGAGGGCAGTGTGTGAAAATGAGCGTTGGTCTTACCTGATACGCCACTTCTAGTCACTAGGAAACGCCGGTCACTAAAGGGTTACAACCTAGCCAGTAGCTCTAGGACCGACACCAACAAAAGAAGTCCCGCCTCTTCCTGTATCCAGTTTGAGACGAGGACGAAAGGTAGACTGTCGTGTCTGTAAAAAATAAAGGAAAGGTAAAAAATCCCCAGGACCCTCCCCCCTCCGTCAACAGCCAAAAGCCAGCACGAGAGGTGCCGGACCAATTGGGAGGGGGTGACCGGCGTTTCCTAGTGACTAGAAGTGGCGTATCAGGTAAGACCAACGCTCATTCTCAGTCACGGAGGAAACGCCAGTCACTAAAGGGATATACCAAAGCCCGTGTACCTATTGGGAGGGAGAAGGCTGGCGCCTCTCCTGGTCCTGGGAAGATACCCGCTGCAGCACACGTCTTCCAAAGGAGGCTTCCGCCGATGCATAAACATCCACCCGGTAATGCCGGATAAATGGAGATGGAGACGTCCAAGTAGCGGCTCAGCAGACCTCCTCGAGTGAAGCTTGGGTAGACCAGGCAGCCGAAGTAGCCGCCCTCCTGGTAGAGTGGGCTGTAACACCATGAGGCACTGGCAACGATTGAGCTTCATAAGCTAAAGAAATGGAAGCCCTGAGCCATCGACCCAAGGTAGTAGAAGAAACCTTTGACCCCATGGACTGGGGTTGGAAAGACACAAAGAGAGCCTCGGAGCGACGAAAGGAAGAAGTCCTGGAGATATAAATCTTGAGAGCCCGACGAACATCAAGTTTGTGCCACCCCTTCTCCAAGCGATGACGGGGGGAAGGACAGAAGTTGGGAAGAATGATCTCTTGAGAACGATGAAAAGCTGAATTGATCTTTGGAATAAAAGCTGGATCCAATCTCAAAACTACTCGATCAGCATGAATAATACAGAGATCCTGGCAAACTGAGAGGGCAGCCAACTCCGAGATCCTCCTAGCTGAGGTGATAGCCACTAGAAAGGCTGCCTTAAAAGACAAGAACTTCAGCGAGACTTCCCGGAGAGGTTCAAAAGGAGGACCAGTAAGAGCTAACAGAACCTTATTCAGGTCCCAGGTGGGAAACTGATGAACAGCCAGAGGACGTAGATTGGTCGCGCCTCTGAGGAATGAACGGATGAGAGGATGAGTGGACACAGACTCAGCGGTGCCGCAGGTGAGGATAGATGAGATGGCAGAGATTTGCCTCCAGAGGGTATTGGGAGAAAGCCCCGATTTGAAGCCCTTTTGAAGGAAGCCCAGGATGTCAAGAATGGAAGCAGCAGTAGGAAGGACCTTCTTACGGCGACACCAGGCAGAGAAGGCCATCCAAGTGGTATTGTAAATACGGTTCGTTGATCCTCGACGAGAGGCCTGGATCGTAGAAATTATTTCCGAAGGCACCCTGGCTGAGGACAGGAGGAACCGCTCAACCTCCAGACGGTCAGCCGGAGCCACTGAGGGTCTGGATGAGCTAGACAGCACCTGCCACAGAGATATTTTGTCAGCCGGGATCTGCCAATGGGGAGCAACAGAGAGAGCCATCAGATCCGCAAACCATGGTTGTCTGGGCCAGAAGGGAGCCAGAAGGATGAGCTCGGCTTGTTCCTGCAACAGCTTCCTGATGACCCTGGAGATGAGGGGAAGAGGTTGGAAAGCATAGAGAAGAAGACCACAAGGCCACGGGCTGATCAATGCGTCCACAGCTTCGGCTCCCGGGACAGGAAATCTCGTGTAAAACCTTGGAAGCTGGTGGTTGGATTTGGACGCGAAGAGGTCCACTGCTGGAAGGCCGAAGCGATGCACGATGTCCTGGAACAGAAGTGGATCGAGGCTCCACTCCGTCTAGTCCACCACCGAGCGACTGAGAGCGTCCGCCTGAACATTTGCTGACCCTGAGATGTGAGAGGCGTGAATGGATGCCAAGTGACTCTCCGCCCACCTGAAGAGACGAGATGCCTCCCTCATGAGAGCCTTGGAGCGGGTCCCTCGCTGCCGGTTGATGTGGGCCTTGGCAGCTACGTTGTCTGTTCTGATCAAGACGTCCAGACCTCGAAGGAGAGGAGCGAACTTGCGAAGAGCTCGGAAGATGGCTCTGAGCTCCAAGATGTTGATGTGAAGTCCCCTCTCCTGGACCGACCACTGCCCTCGGGCCAGCTGAGACCCCAGGTGAGCCCCCTATCCGAAGAGGCTCGCGTCCGTGGTAATGCTCACGCGCTGAGGCATTCTGAACAGGCATCCCTGAGCAAGAGCCGGAGAGGTCCACCATGCCAAGGACCGGAGAACTTGAGGAGTCAAGGGGACTCTGGCCTCTGACGTGCTCCTGCGAGACCATTGAAACGGAAGTAAAAACCTTTGAAGTTCCCGGCTATGAAACCGAGACCAGGGAGTGATCCCGAAGGCAGAAACCATTTTCCCTAGCAAGCGAGAAAGCCCCAGGAGGGAAAAAGAGCAAGAGGCCTTAATCTGACCTACCAGCTCAACAATGATGTCCTGACGATCCTGAGAAAGGGAAACCTGCAACCTGATAGAATTAATAACAGCCCCTAAATGCTGAATGCATGTGGAGGGAACTAGGTTGCTTTTAGAACGATTAACCAAAAAACCATGGGATTGCAGGGTCTGAAGGGTGACCTGAATATCCTCATTACCCCTAACCTCAGAACTAGACAAAATAAGAATATCATCTAGATAAAACAAAACTCTAACAGGAAAAGATCTCATATGGCCCGATAAGGCAGCCATGATCTTTGTAAAGACCCTAGGAGCTGAGGAAAGGCCGAAGGGAAGGGCTCTATACTGATAATGCCTACCCCAATAACAAAAACGGAGGTATTTCCGATGGTCTGGAAAAATGGGCACATGGAGATAAGCCTCAGTCAAGTCGATGGAAGACAAAAAATCACCTGGACGGATAGAAAGGAGAATGGTCTGGAGGGATTCCATCTTGAACCGACGATAGACTATATATCGGTTCAAGGATTTAAGATCCAATATGGCCCTCCAGCCTCCTGAAGCCTTGGGAACTAGAAACAAACGGGAATAAAATCCCTGGCCAACTTCCCCTAGGGGAACACATTGAACAGCCCTAATCTCCAAAAGATGTTGAATAGCCTCATCTAGCAGAATCCTCCTGGACCTGACATGTGAGACAGGGCACCTGACAAACAAGTCAGGAGGAACAGAAGAGAACTCAAGGGTCAACCCAAACCTAATAGTACGTCTAATCCAGGGGTCTGAAACTGAACAATCCCATTGGTCAGCAAAAAATGCTAACCTACCTCCAATAAAGGAGTCAGGGATGGGTAGAGGAGAACTAACGGGACCTGCGAAAGGACGCCCCCACCCCCCCTGAAGGGTCTGCGGGGAGGGAAACGGGACCCCTGCCTGACCTGGAAATCCTGCTGTTGTCCGCCCCTGGGCTGAGAGTACCGCTGAGGCCTGGACTGGAAGGAAGAGAAGTCGGAGCGAAAGGAATGGCTTCGAAAGGAACCCTGCTGACGAGGATCATATCTTCTCGATAAGGCGGGCAGAATCTTGCAATGATCCTTTGTCTCGATGAGGAGTGGATCCAAGACTGGGCCGAAGAGCTTGTTCCCCGAGAAAGGAGCTGATGCCAGTCTCCACTTGTTCCGAACATCTGCCTGCCACTGACGAAGCCACAGAAGCCTACGAGAAGTGACTGAAGCCCTGATAGCCTTAGCTGAAAACCTTGCCGCATTCAGAGTAGCATCAGCAGAGAACTCAACAGCAGCTAGGATCTTGTTGATGTCCTGGTGAGATCGCATATCAGAAGGAGGCAGCCTTTCCTGTAGTTGGCGAAGCCAAAGGATGGAGGTCCTGTTAAAAAAGGAAGCGGCCGAGGAGGCCTGAATGGACCAAGCTGAGGCCTGGTGGTCCTTGACCAAGGAGCGTTCAAACTTCTTATCTTCAGGGCGCAGGAATTCCTCTGACGGACCAGTAAGAGGAGATGCAGAAGAGAGAGCGACAACGGGAGCATCTACAGAAGGAACTTGAAGAATATTAGCAAAATCAGATGCCATATTATAAAATCTTTTATCTAGACCATTGGGAACCGGGCCAGAACTAGGAGAAGACCACTGTCTTTGAACGACATCAGAAAACAGCTTGGGAGCTGGAACGACCTCTGCACGAATGGAAGGTTCCTGAAATAATAATGATGAAGAGGGATGCTGAGAAGAAGATGTAGAAGCCCCTTGAGAGGAAGGAGTAGAAGAAATTCCCAGGCCAGTAACATTTTGAGCTTTAAATAAAAGGGATCTGAATAATTGAGGCTTGAAAAGACCAATGAAGGAAGGCTGGTCTGGTTCTAGACCTTCATCATCCGAGAGATCTTGATCAGGGGCAATTTCCCCCTCAGACAGGGAACCTTGACTTGCATTTTCCGGGGAATCCACCCTTTCTTCATATTGCACAGGATCAGCAACAGCCTGGGCCCTCACAGAACGACTCTGCTGACTCACATAACTGGAGGCCTCAGAAGAGGCTCTTTGCTGAAGGCCTTCAGCAATACCCTGCCTAATTGAAACAGAAATAAGTTCAGCTAGGGCAGGAGTTAAATTTACAGGAGCCTCAGCCCCCTGAATGCTGGATTGGGCTTGAGCCTTAGGAAATTCTTGCCTTGGGGGGGGCTGAATAGAAACAATTGGAGATAGAGGCCTAGCAGCAGGAAAAACTGAAGAAGCATCAGCAGCTACATTCTCACCCAGAGTAGACTGATCAGGAGAAAAATCATGTTCAATTTGAATTTGGGAAGAAGGAACAGCCACATTGGAAGTGGGGAGGGCAGGAGATTTAGAAGGCCCCACAGAAGGAGATGAAACTCTAGAGGCCTCTGAAGCAGCTTTTTGAAAGGCCTTTTCCATGGCCTTATGCCTCCTGGTCTCTTCTCTTGATGATGCAGCAATATTAGCACTCTTGGAGTGAGTGGATCTAGTAGAAACTCTGGCTGCCTTGGGAGGAACAGAATCCCCTGAGGAACTTTCTTTAGGATCAGAAGAATGGCCCCTTTTTCCTTTGCTTTGGGATTTATTGCTCCTAGCATCAGCCATGATAGAGCAGAAATTTACTTTTACAGCTCAGAATAAATGCAAAGGATAGAAATCACCCTTAAATGCACCCACAGGGGATAATTGGTGGTTCAGGTAACTCACTGCGCCAGGAGAGAAGCAGAGTAGAATCCAGGAGCCAGGAAGATTACTCAGGAGGCAGGAAATGGCCGCTAGCCAAAGGGCTTAAAAGCGCGGCAAAATCGGGCGCGGAAAAGCCTTCGCGCCAGAAATCTGCAGCCACAATTCTCCAAACAGCAGCAGGAGGCAGGGAAACCTCTCCAAAAGCCTCAAAAACCTCTGAAAGTGCTGCAAATAGTAGAGGCGGTACAATACGCACGTGGGCACTGCCGTGGGGCTGCTCAGGGCCGCCGGAGCGATTCTAGCGCTCCCCAGCTGATTCCAATTAAGTTTAGCCGCTTTTGAAGAAAACGCCAGCAATTTGAGCAGAAATGAGCAAACTAAGTAGAAATAAGCCAGCAATGGCCAAATAAACTCCCCCATGAAGAATTAATGAGAGAGAGAACTAATAGACACGACTGTCCTCTACCGGACCGAGTCGAAAAACTGGGTACAGGAAGAGGCGGGACTTCTTTTGTTGGTGGACTCGGTCCTAGAGCTACTGGCTAGGTTGTAACCCTTTAGTGACCGGCGTTTCCTCCGTGACTGAGAAAGTCTTTTTAAAAAATTCTATCTTAAATCTCCCACTTTTCATTTCATTAAATGATTCCACCTCCATGTCATTTACCATTAATAACTTTTATGAAAGGAAAAGAAATCTTATTGTGATATTAATACCATAGTAATGATATGTTTGTAATAATGTATAATATCAGATTGTAATTTGCATTGGAACATTTATTCTCAATGAAGACAAGCAGGATATGAAGCAAAAGCTGGACAGTATATAGTTGGTCTGTAAAAGAAAGAAAAATCTGCAGAGAAAAGACTTTGATTGCTAATCTCACTTGAATAGTTATTTTTGCATTCTTTGAGAAAATTTAAATATAAAAAATACTACATGAATGCAAATACTAATGTGCTTCCAGAGAAGATGATCTGTGCACAAAAGACAAATAGACAGGCAAGGAAGATGAAAACAGGAAGGTGAATCCTGTATCGAATGAGGCTATTCAATTTGAGGACTCAACAATAAGCATATTTAAAAGGTTGCTCTCTTTCACATATTTACACCAATATCAGAAGAGAAGCTCAAAACACTTTAAATGGTGCCAGCAAAATCCATTGAGTGCTTTTACTTGACAATCCTACTATTTGCTTTCATTATAATATAACTGGTTTGAGGAAATTATCACATTTAAATACAGCCACCTAAATAATGGACTTCAAATGCATTTCAGTTTTTTAAAAAAATGGGACTGATTCTCTATAATTAGCATGTTTGCCAGATGAACCCTGCAAACTGCTAAGCTATGTAATTTTATAAAAAGTTCAAATCAACACACGACCAATTGTTACAAATTCTTTTTGCGCTTTTCTATGAATCAATGAAATTGGTGGGGCTAATTATACTGGAGAAGAGAAAAGAGAGATGGTATAGAACCAGTAACCTATATAGTCAGCAAAAAGTTACACTCAGCTGAATAGAAAGGCAGCTGTTAGGACTTTCCAAATGGAAACTGATAACTAACGTTACTCATTGAATGGAGTATATGCAATTAGGCCACTAAAAGATTTTTTTAAAATTAATAATTCCAAATATCCATTAACAGATGTAGTAAATTGCTCTAAAGACTGCATTCATTGTTCATTACCAATGCTTGCCTACATAAAAAGATATTGCTCCTGCAATGTACAATATAAAAATAAATGTCAAAATTTCACTTCACAGTGCAAGTATAATAAGGATAAAAAAAATCAATGTATTGAAGAAATTGGAAAAATATATATTTAATAAACAAAGCATGCAGGGCATGGCTTTTGCAATTTTTTAAGCTAAAATCCTTTGAAATAAGCTAAAATCTTGGGTCATATGACTCTGCCATGCAGTATGTCCCATTAGCAGACATAGTTTTTTGTTATTTCTTCAAAGTATCTTTCTTTTAGTGACATTTCCCTCTTCTGTTCTGTATTTGGAAATTATTTTACTAATGGACAAAGAGAGTTCATAGCCTCTTTACATAATTTCTTTCAAATTTCCTGTTGGGTTGGTTAAAAAAAAATAAATCGTATGGCTCATCGCACAGTCAGCCAGATGTTTAAACTGGATTTATCCATCTAGGATAAAAATCTGGGGTTATTATTATTGGTATCACATTATTTAGTCTACTTGAATGCCATTCCAGCCATTCAGTTTTAAGCAGTTTTAACGCACCGCTTACCAAACTGATACAATAGCATTCCTATCAACATTAGACTTGGATTGGCATCTTTCCTGATCTTTTCAGATTTTGCAAATCCATGAAACTATAGGAAAAGCATTGTAAAAGCTGATCCCATAACTTTAAAGTAATTCATAACTCAATAACCATAAACTCTTAGTTTGAAATGTACTTCAGTAGTAATGAGAAGTGTATTTGTTTGCATAGAATCTTATCAAAATACATGATGGTTCTTTAATCTCTAGTATAAAAGACAACATATCTCTCAATGCCAGTTGCTGGAGACCATAACCTGTTGATTTTTCATAGAATTAACAAACTAGACTGGTTAGGCCTTTGGTCTAATCCAGCTATAATTTTGTGATCTGATAATACAAAATGTGGCTTGAAAAAATGAAGAAAGAGGTGATTTTTTAAAAAAACACTATATAATAGAATGATTTTATTCACAATTAAGAGTGAAAATATTTGTTAAAAAAAGTAAATTACACTTCCGTAAGGAGCAGCAATTTGAAAAATCAGTTAATAAAACTGTTTACCAGCTTCCAATCTCCAAAAGAGAAATAAATTTCAACTTCAATAGCATACAGTAATATGGAAAATAAGCATATTGTAAAAGGTATTTTTGACTTTCAGATTCAAACTGAAGAGTAAGTGTTCTGTATTTTTCCCCTCTTTTGGGTCATCTATGGACCAATAGGACAAAATATTATTGCTGGTGCCACCGAGCATGAATGAGTATTTTCAAAGTTCTCAAAATCAAGAACAAAGTGCTTGAAATACTGGCATTGATTGCTCTTTAGAGATTTTCAATTTTATTGCTCTTAGCAGGCATGCAGTGCAGAAGATTAAAAAGCTGCAGATATAGGCTTCAAAAGTTCAGGCAACAATAAGAAGGGAATAGAGTTCATTTTTATTGTCTCTGTGTTTCCAGTCCAATTTTTCCCATCTCAGGTCTGGTAGCCCTACTGTTCAGTTTCTAGGTTTACCTTTTTTTGGTTCATATTTTAGGCTCTGCAATTAATGGTCGTGAGAATGATAAAAGTGCAATTTTTCACATGATTTCAAAATATGTAAATCAGAGTTCACCTGTCTGCAGATGTTTGGGAAACCAATAAAGTTCTTCCTTTTTCAAAATCATTTGGCCCAAGTTTTAAATCAGAGTCTTATATGTTTCAAAATCAGGATCTGCAATATGTGTATAATTGTTAGATTGCAGCTCCTATAGTTTTTCTGATATGATCATTACAATGCCTACAGCTAATGAGCATTAGAGTTCAAAAACATTTACCAGGCCATTCCTGCCTAAACTCTAAACATAAACAAAACAAAAACATGCCATGATTGGGGCTACTACAGAATTACTGAAATATTCAAAGTGAAGCCAGAAGTTATCTAAAACTACTTATGAAGAGCTGCTAAACTTTCAAGCACGTACATTAGATTGCTACATCAAGGTAATTTCCAGATCAGTTTTCCAAAGCAGAAATCCTAATATATTTATTCAAACTTTGCATTTAATCCTCCTAATCAAGATTATGAAATCTAGATTCCTCCTGATGATAACCAGGAAATTAGGCATCACATTTTGGAGGGCACCAAGTCTGAGAAGATGGGTCTAAATTAACTATACTGACAGAAAAGCTATACCACGATGTGCTGAGAAAAGAACAACCCAGCCAAGATTTGCAAAATGTAGCCATTCATCTGTAACTTCTGTTTTTGTACCTGTCATATCACATCAACAATGGCTAAGAAGACGGTATGAGAAACTGCCTTTCTTTTCAGAAACACACACAAATCGGAAACTTGTGTATATCCCTGCCGATTTGATCTATAAAGAATGCATCAATACTAGCAAACCAATATCAAAAATCAAGCTTTTAGAATTAAGAATGTTTTCAAATCTCTGAAGTTGAATTCTATAAAACTGCTGGATTCAGGAAAAAGACCAAGAAAGTTAATGCCTAGTAGTGGGATACGGCACACAGAAGAAATAAACACAGAAGCAAATAATACGTTTTACCATTATTTATAAATAGTCTTCCTCAACGATTCCAAGTGGTCCTCACAGTATCAAATACTGTGGAGAATCTCCATAGACAAATATAGGTAATTAGAAAACATTGGCAGAGATCAATAACATCCAGAGGAAAGCAAACCATATATAACTGTATCAGCTGTGTAAAAGTTAATTTTATACTTTATCTAGATGAAATACCTTTTATTTATTTTGATAAGTGTTTCTGTAAATGTGTCTACAGTGATGTTGGCCTTATTTTACAGGGTCCCCCCCATAGCTTCCAAGTGTGATTCAAGGTGCCGTTTGTCGCCTTTAAAGACCTGTGTGGCATAGGGCCTAGCTACTTGTGGTACTGCTTTTCTCCCACTGTTTCTGTTCGCCCTACCAGATCTAACACACAGGGTATGCTCCAGATCCTTTCCATCAAGCAATATCATATTGTTGGACCTAGAAGTTGTGTGTTCTCTGCGATATTGCTGGCCTTGTAAAAAAAAAAAATCCCTCCCAGATATCTAAATCTCATCAACACCTTTTAGCCTTTGGAAGTTCTGAAGAATTGGCTGTTTCCCAGGCATTTGAGGGAGGGTACTCGAGCTTTATTGTGGATTGGATTTTAGCATTAGAACACATAATTCATTTTAGGAATGACTGCTTTTAATTCTTCAGAATTTTAATCTTTGAAGGCCATTCAAAGTCATTTCTGACTTTGTAGCCATTTACACAATCTAAATAAATAAACTTTTGCAAACAATTCTGATTTTTGGTAAGATTATTCTATCCTCATTGCTGTGTGATGAGATAGAGATTATAGTTAAAAAACAAAAAGGAAAGGAAAAAATAAGATTAAAAATATGCATTTAAGCCTTGTTCATCTTAAATATGCGGCATCCTACAGACATTTCCTATAGGAATGTGCCTCTTTCCCAATTGGTTGGCCATGCTGGTTATTTATCTTTATTTAATTATTTGTTTACCAACCATTCCTGAAGGCTTTACATCAACATATAAAATAATGTCTTTCTATCTGGAAATACACATAAAAAATAAAAAGATCAAAAGAATGCAAAATATAAAATGCAAATTCCATGTACTCACTAAACCCAACTTCACTTAGAACACATCT